AGCTCAAAAAGGTTAACTGGAGCTAACGGGGGCTAACTAGAGCCACCAGCTAAGAGGAGCAAGTACAAGCTAACAAGAGCCAACTGGAGTTAAAAGACGCTAATAAAAGCTAACTGGAGCCACAAGGAGCTAACATGAACTAATAGGAGCTAGTTTGAACTGAAAGACGCTAATAGGAGCCAACCAGCACCGACTCGATGACTAGGAGCTAACACAAGCTATATGGAACTCAAAAGAGCTACAAGAAGCAAATGGGAGCTTCTTTTATGAGCTAACGGGAGCTATCTGAAGCTCCATAGACCTGACTGAAACCAACGGGAGCTAACAGCATACGGCACACTCCAAGTGTTTTTTCTATTTGAGCTGCAACCAGAAGCACAGAAAGAACATTTTATATCCCAACTTTCATGAAGTGATTAAAAGTGAAAGAAATGAGTTTGACTTCAGAGAAGGCTTTCAGGTTGAAACAGAAATCCTGGCCGGTACCTTGTATGACCAGTTTGCCCGTCGTTCTCTTGTCCTCGGCCTCAAACATGTACTTGGCTTCGTCATCGTAGGCGGCCGATCGGATCAGCAGAACGTACACCTTTCCCTCCTGGATCATCTCGTACTTCTCGTCGCTCTGCAGCTCCTGAGAACCTTTCAGCCAACGGAAAGTCTTCGGAGCTCTCGACACCTCGACTTCGAACCTCGCCTCATCCTTCTCGTACACCTGGACGTCGCTCAGCGACGTGAGGAAGTTCAGTGGAAGCTCTGAAGACAAACAGCGGCAAAAGGTTTTCATGTTGTATGAGAAGTTTAAAGCTCATTTTAGGGCCTGACCAGTGACTCAGTGGCTCTTCAACAGAGATGCTTCACTGATCTGCCAGAAGTTTAAGCTTTTTATGACTTGAAATGACCAGATGTCCAGTCTGAATCTGGCAGGATGCCTTTGTTTCATGTCTTTCAACTACCAAATATTAATCAAATCAAGTCTGTTTGACACAAAATCAAAGATGCAAGTTTTACTTTGGAGGTCAAATAAAGGTAAAGAAAGGAGTGTGGCTGTGACTTCAGGAACACTTAGTGTGAAGTGTCCATAAAGTAACTCAGCTGAATTACATTTTCATATATTCTGCTCACATAATGCCAGAGACGTCCTGAACCTCCTCAGAGTCTCTGTCATGGTCCTGTTGCTGCTAAACTCCCACAATGCTCTCTGCTGCCACCATGAGCTGTAGTCTGAGTGACGCCTCCTCTGGTCCCTACAGGGTTAAACAGGTAGAGGCTCCACCTGGTGGAACAACCAGGTACTACAGCTGGTCTACGGTGCGTTTACTGACATTATGTCCTTCGTCTGCTGCCTTTTCAGTTGATGTGTTTTTATTTGTTGACTTAGTAACACCAATTATTAACCAATGACCGTTAATTTATCAAGCAACAGGCACCTCTGTGGAGGTTAATGACCTCCAAATAGAGCCTGGTAGTTTGCAACGAGTTCAAGTCCACACGTACGACGTCTGAATAACCAGTCAGCATCGTAACAAACTCCCTTTAGCACGAACGTCACACGAGTGCATCAGTGTATAGTTTAGAGTATATAGTATATACAGCACAAAGTTGTTTATTGATGGACAACATAGCTGACTACAGGTTAAAAAAATATGACTGAACTCTTTAGTTCACAGTCTGAACAATGTCCTCATGTTGTCAAGTCTCAGCTTTAATTTCACTTCACTGTTCAGTCTGACTCCCAGCCGGTTTATGTGACCAGGAGACATGGAGTCGAGCTGCTGTCTGAATGTGAGGCTCTTGGAGATGCAGATGATTTGAAAGGCCTTTCTGACAGACGGGGTTACCTTTGACCTTCAGGTTGGCAGAACACTTGGCGTTGGCGGCGGCGTACGAAACCTCGCCGGTCATCGAGACTTTGCAGTTGTACAGGATCAGCGTGTGCTTTCCTCCCTCCTCGATGATGTCGATGTCCTGTAGGATGAAACATGAAGAACCGATAAGTGCAGCTGGTTCCCCATCACGTCGACAGAAAACTGCTTTAACGTTTCTAAGCTACATGAAATCAAGAAATGTGCTTTTTGCGACTTTTCTGTGTGAAAATCCAGGCCTTTGACATCCAGACTGGATCTGTGCTGCCTGTATCTGTACACTTCAGATCCATTATCTACACTTCACACTGTGGATGTCTGCAGCTGAACTCTGACTGGTTCATCTGAAACTGGAATAAGAATCCTGACGTTGTTGGTTCCAAACAGTCGGACTCGGCCGGTGACAGTTATACAATCAGACATTCAGGATAAATGTGGTGGATCAAAGCGCTCACAGATGAAGGGCCGAGGACATCTCCGTTCAGCTTCCACTGTCCATGAACGTCGTCCTCGGAGATCTCCACCTCGAACCGAGCTGTCTCTCCGTCGAACAACTCCACGCCGTAAATCGGCCGCACGACCTTAATGTCCCGAGCTTTAGATCGAACACAGGACAGGAGTAAACAGAGAACAGCTGATGTGAGGACGTTTCTGCTTTCTTCCTTTTTAACTTTTCATGATGTATTCATCACATCAGACTTTAATTTTTTATCACTAACGTCAGACGCAAAACTTTTTTCTGCTTGACAACAGCTGAAAACGTTATTTTAACCTTTAAAATACTTTATTAACTTTAAACACCTCCGAGTGCAAATCAGAATTTTGAAAAGAAGGATTTTAGAATTGAGTTTTTTAGAATTGCAATTCTCTTTGTTTCTCACACATTCTGGCTGCTTTCTTTCACGCTGCCTTTGATTCCCAGACGTGTGCAGATCAAACAGATCCTACGTCAGCAGATTCAGAAGGATACAGGAAACGGTGTCATCACTTTTACCTTCAATATTGATGCTGGCCGACGTCTTGTCTGTTCCACAATCACATACGTATTTTCCTTTATCGCTCTGCTCCACTTTCTTCAGGACCAGAGACCTTCGCAGACCTTCTGACTTCATGACCACCATCTTGGAGGAGGTGATTTCTTTCTCCTCGTGGTACCAAATGACAGGAACGTCTTTGCTCAGCTCGCAGTCCAGTGACACCTCGTCTTTCTCGGTGGCCGCATAGTCCTGCAGCTTCACCACAAAGATGGCGTCTCCCTCTGAAGCAGGAACCAGAGTCGGTTAGTGTCAGCAGGAAACCGGCTATTTACGAGTCATTCCATATAAAATCAAGTAGATCTGAACAAAGTTCCTCCAGAACCTCCTCATCCTCTTGTGATGACATTTGTTCACTCATCAATAAAACCAGAACACATGAATGCATTAATAGTGACAAAAGAAGGGAGAAGACAAAGAAGAAGGTGTGCTGTTACCTATGACCGTCAGTTTGGCCGCCGAGTAAATCCCTTTGGCCTCTGCCTTAATCTGGCAGGTATCATCTAGAGTCAACGTCCTCATTTCTAGAGTGTGTTTCTTTCCTTCCACGTATGTGAGCACCGTTCGGCTCACGTGGAGCTTCACTTCGTTTCGGTACCAAACCACCGGCACGTTCTCGTGACTCAGCTCGAGATCAAATCGTACCGTGTTACCTTCTTTCACTGTTTGGTCCTGAAGCTGCTGCACAAATTTGAGCCTCATGCCTGGAATACATCAGGTCAGTGCACACAGGGGTTGGTAGCCTCAGACAGGAATGACCACACAGAGGAAACGTGAAGCAGCTTTCGGTCCTACTTACCTTCCACCAGCAGCTGAGCCGTGGATTTCTGGCCCAACACTTCGATCGTGTACTGAGCCTCATCGTCAAACTCACAGCTGTTTATAATCAGCATGTGTTTCTTCCCATCATCAATTATTTCATATTTGGGGCTCGGGGTGACGACCTCCACCCCCCTGAACCACATCACCTTTGGCACATCCTTGGTGATGGTGCACTCAAACTTAGCCTGTTTCTTTTCAGGCACAGAAACGTCCTTCAGCTGGTCAACAAAGCCCATTTCGATTTCTGGGAGGTGCGAACAGTTTGGCAGTTATCCACAAAAGCAACAACACAGCCGCTGCTTTTCTTACCTGTCCGATGTGCAACACCTCCGTTTTTCAAGACCCACAAAAGCAGCAGCAGCAGCAGCAGACAGACACGCTGAGTGTGAGTGTTGGTTGTGTACCTTTGACGGTGAGCATGGCGCTGGTGACGGCGTTCAGAGCCTGGTACGAAACCTCGCCGGCCTGATCCAGCTGCACGTTCTTCAGCGTGAGGAAGCGCTTCCTGCCCTCAGCTTTAATGTCGCAGCTCTGAAGAACAGAAGCAGGAAAATCTCAGCGTGATGATACCTGAGTTCTAAACCACTCTTTCCTTCAGGTCTTCTGAGAGAAGACATGTCTCCTGAAGAGCAGCCGTTAAAAATAAGAACAATAACAAAGCTTGTGAAGTGAAGCAGCAATAACAGCTGCAGCCGGATGTGTTTTGGGTTATTTGTCTTGACCTCAGAGTGTCAGTGCTGTTGTGAAGCCTCAAGTTTTATCTCCACCTTTATCTGTTCTGGGCTGCTATCAAACCGAGTCAGTCCAGTTTACTTTGAGGTGAGTGAAAGAGTCTTACCGGAGATCTCGTCAGCACTTGGCCTCTCAGCTTCCATTCACCGGCTATATCATCCTCAGATATTTCCGTGTCAAAGTTGGCCTCCTCCTTCTCGACCACCTCCACACTGGAGAGCGGCTTCAGGATCTCAGCCTCACGCTCTGAGAACAAAGACAGACACTTAAGTTAGAAACCGTTCGTGAACGCAGTCGTCACGACCTGCAGATGTGGCTCCGTGTGGACCGACCTCCGAGCGTCAGCTTGGCGGTGTATCTGCGATCCTCCACCTCGATGGTGTAGTCGGACACGTCGTCCGGCTGGCAGTTACTGATGGTGAGCGTCATGTCCTTTCCATCTTTGTTGACCTCCACCTTGTCGGAGGGCGTGAGCTCGTTGTCTCCTTTGAACCACTTCCAGTTGGGGGTGTCTTTGAACAGCTCACACTTGAACGTGGCCTTTGCCTTCGGTTTCACATGCTGGTCCCTCAGAGGCTTCACCAGCCAGTCTTTGATGATTTCTGAGGAGGAAGGACATTATTTCAAACAGGCTCGACTCTGAGCGACCATCAGAGCATATGTGGCTGAAGTTAAACTTTTCATCCAGTCTTTTAATCAAAGTCATCAGCTGTGTTTCATTCATGTACTTTTATTTACATTTTGAAGTATCACATGAGAGACAATTACTGGAAACAAAAAGCTTTTTCTGCTTTCTTGAGGAGGTTTTTGGCTTTTTCTAGAAACAGTCTTCATTGATGCCAGCATCTTTTCTGACTAACGCAGTAAACACTGAAGTCACATGACTAATCAGCTGTCTGTGACATCGACAAACATGGCCGACAGCAGCTGACATAACCAAACCAAAAACTGTCTCTCTGCAGACCGACAAAGCTGGCTAGTTTCTGTCTTCTTCTGCTCCGTTTGTTACAGCTAACAGCGCCACCTGCTGGCACCACTGTGCAGCCAAGTTTATTCACTCTAAAACAGTTATTGGAAACGTGTCTAATTTTCTGTCTTCCTTTTATTTTTGTGACAGTTCAAAGGCTCACCTCAAATTCACTTGACAGTTACATGGAAACAGCCACCTGTTCAATCTCACCACACCATAAGCGTGATCCACCTCAAAGGAGCTACAGCGGCTTCTCGTCCACGTACCTACAGCTTCAGACGGCTCCACACTACTTACCAATCACTTTAACGTTGGTGGTCGTCTTGACGTCCTCCTGTCCGTCCACCTCGCAGGTGTAGGTGCCGGCGTCCTCGTCGGTGGAGTTCTGGAGGGTCACGGCGTGCTGCATGCCGATGACATTAATGGCCACTTTTCCGGCCTTTTTCTTGAGGACAGCGCCGTTATGCTTCCAGACCACATCTCTCTCTTTGTTCAGCTCACAGGTCAGGTACATGGGCTGACCCTTCATACAGGAGGTCTCTGGTTCCAGCTCCTTGATCCATTTCACAGGCAGCTCTGTGTGGAGGAGATGGGATTCAGAACGGTGTTTCTGGCAGAGCAAATGGTGGGTATCGTTTCAAGATCACCGACTGGTGCAGGTACCGTACCTGAGTTTGAGAATTGTTTGATGTCTAAAGGAAGCTTAATTTTTCAATTAACAACACAAGTTCTCAGACGCATTGTTTGATGTTAATGCATGTTGGATGGAAAAACCTCATTGGACTACCTTCAACGATGAGCTTGGCTGTGCACGTTATCTCCTTTCCAGCATTCTTGGCCACACAGGTGTAGTCACCGGTGTCCGACAGCTGGACATCAATAATGTTCAACTTGCGATCTTTGCCATCTGAGGTGAACTTGTGTTTGGGGCCTTCACGCAGGTTGCTGCCATCTTTCATCCAGGAGGTGATGGCGGTGGAGGGCGACACCTCGCACTCGAAAACAGCAGACGAGCCGATGGACTCGGCCTCCGTCAGCACGATGTCCTGAAGCTTCTTGATGAACTTCAGGGGGACGGCTTTGAGCTTGAATCCTCCGAAGGGCTCCTCTGGTGGAGACGGGCCCTTTCCGCCGGGCTTCAGGCCCCGCCCCCTGCCGCCGTCACCGGGAGACGGGGTTTGTCTCGCTGCAACACCAGATACAAAAACTCAGCCAGCTAGAATCACACAGTGGGCTGCTTTGGGATCAGATGGTCTCATGGTTAAGTCAACAGGTTTACTGAATATAAGACTCTGTTGACGCTAAGAATCATGCAGCGTTACTCATTATGAGTCTCTGAAGAACCCAAAAACCAGGACAACACAAACAAGAAACCACTGAACACAGAAAGACAACAAGATTTCCACCCAGTAAAGTAACTGTGGAGCTGTGAAGGTAAAGCACCTCAGTTCAACGTGACGACTAAAACGTGACTGCACAATAAATTAACTGTAACTGTGAGTCCACATTAAGAGACATCAGAGATTAAATGAGGTTAAAAATAACAACAATAACAGATAACTGATGTCAGTTCTTACTCTCAGTGTTTTAGGCCAGGGATCCTTCAGATATATTTAGTATTCACAAGCTTCAGTGAATCTTAGGTAATCTGTTTTTTCCTGACAAAGTTGTTGAACATGACATGAACAAAGCAGAAGGACAATCTACAGACAAACTGTATGAAACTTAGAAAAGTCCCCCCCAGACCTTTGAAGTCAGGATTCAAGGCTTCACACAAAACATGTCTTTGATTTTGTTTGAAGGGACAAGACATGAAAGTAACCTAATGGAGCGAAACAGCTTCAAACATCATCAAAGACCAAAGAGCACAGATGAATTCTCACCCCCGAATCCTCGGCCTCGGCCTTTGGGCGGCTCTTCTGACGGTTTTCCATCTGAACAGAAACAATAAGACGAGTTTTAAGCTTCTCTGAAAGAGCTGTGTTTGGATGCAAACATTCCAGCAGAAACCAAGATGAAGACTTAAACAAAACTAACAGCAAACATCACAGGAAAACACTGAATTATACATCATGTCTTAGAAGATCAATGCAGAGGAAGAAGATGAAGATGGAATAACGAGACAAGATGATCAAAGAGACACACTTGCTGAGAAAATGGATGGAGACGAACACTGAATGAGTGATGACACATTGGAGGACAGGCGTGATAAGATGGACATGGAAACCCCACATGGATGGACGGTGAATGGACGGACACATGGGAGAACAGACAGACCGAGTGATTAAGAGAAGATGTGATGAGGATTAGATGATTCGTCTGAGATGGGATGAGGAGCTCCAGAGGCAGCAGCTGGAAGCGTTTGCCGGCCTTCACCTCACCTCGTCTGGCGCCCGGCATCCCTGGAGTCTCCAACGCCCCGTCCACCCCTACACCCTCCCAGTCCTCTGGGGGAACCAGCTCCCAGCCCCAGGCCTCCTCGTCCTCGCCTTCCTCATCTTGGGCCTCCTCTTCAAACACCTCCTCCTCTGGCTGGGTGGTCACCCTCCTCATCTGCACAGATCCTGGAGAGACCTCCTTCGTCAGGGGGATGCGGCCTTTACTGGGCCTCTCGGGTTCTGACGGCTCCTCTGGTGACGGCTTCTTAGGGGTCTTTTTGAGTGTCACAGCTTCAGCGGTGTCTTTTGGTGAAGCAGCTTTGGGAATCTGTTTGACCTTCTCAGCACTTGGCTTCTTATCAGCTGGGATTTTCTCCACCTCCTTCAGCTTTGGTGACAGAGTCTTTTTCAGTTCAACCTTCTTAAGCTGCTCGATGGGCTTGAGGGGTTTTGCCTCTTCCACCTTCTCCTTACCAGCTCTGGGTGAAGGAGTCTTTCTGGGTTCGCTACCTATCTTCAGGGCCTCAGCTTGTTTCTGTGGGAGCTCTTCCTCTGCTGCTTTCGGTCCTGGAGGACTGAGCTTCTCAGCTGGAACAGCTGGTGTCTCTTTGTCCTGAGGTTTCTCAACTTCTTTAGGTGTTGCAGTCTTTTCAGGTTTCTTCAGCTGCTGTTCCTTTGGCGCTTTGGCAGGTTCCTCTCTTGGGGTTCGACCTGGTACCTTTGCGTCCACAGACTTTGATTCCGCTGATGTTTTTTCTGGCTTTTCTTCAGGCTTGGTGACTTTGGTGAAAGGCTTCAACACAACCTGCTCTTTCTCTTGATCTGGTGTGGAAATGATTTTGGGTTTTCCACGAAGCTTGTCGTCAGCAGCAACTTCTTTGTCTTTGGGTGCTTGATCGACCTTTTTCTTCTGCGGGATTTCCTTCTGGTCTTTGCTGACATCTGAATTTGTGTCTGGACTCTTGAGGGGAGCGTCTTGATCTTGTCTGTGTTTTACAGCAGTGCTGGGTTGATCTCTCTGTGGAATCTCACTTCTCTTCAGTGGAGATCGCTCATTGCCTGTCTTTGCCTCAGCTTCTTTCTGAGGTTTCGGAAGTTCGGCCACCTCTTGTATCTGTGGTTTGTCAAATGGTTTCAGTGTCACTACTTCTTGCTCCTCGTCTTTCTTGGGTAATTTCTTTATTTTCTTTTTGGCTGCATCTGGCTCAGTTTCCTCATCTTTCGGGGCTTTCGGGGTTCTTATCCACCTCGATTTTTCATCTTCTGCCTCCAGCTGTTCAGGCTGCTCTACATATCCGAGTTCAGAAGCCTCTTCGGCTGCAGTGAAGACTCGTTCGGTTCTGCCAAGTGTTATTACCTCTCGATCGTCTCTGTCGTGAAGCCTCTGAACAGTGAACTCTGAGTCATAATGTCTTGTCACTTCAACTTTCTGAGTGATGATTTCCTTCTCAGGCTCTTTGGGCTTCGTCGGCACCTTTTTTAGTTGGATTCTTTGCTGTTCTTCTTCTGCTTTCCCTGATTTCCCAAATGGTTTCAGTTTGACTGATTCTTTCTGCTCATCTGCTTTTGGCAGTTTGGTTATTTTCTTCTTCTCTCCAGTCAGCACCTCAGGTTCCTCCTCTTTTTGCAGCTTTGGGGTTCTCGTCCAGCCTTCACTCTCTGTTTTTTGTACAACTGAAATTCTCTCAACTTCTTCAAAGTGGCCTAAATGAATCATCTGCTCCTCTGCAGTGAAGACTCGTTCAGTTCGGCCGAGTGTTACGATCTCTCGGTCTTCTCGGTCACGAAGTTCATGAACCGTCAGTTCTGGGTCGTGATGTCTCGTCACCTCTGATTTGTGAGTTACGACTTGTTTTTCAGGCTCTGCAGGTTTTACTGGAACCTTCTTCAGCGTTATGACCTCTGGTTCTGGTTCTTTCTCTTTGGGTATTCTGGTGAACCTACTCTTCCGCTTGGGCGACTCTGGTGTCTTTGCTTCCTGAACAGGAATCTTACCCTTTTGCTTAAGAGGTGGCACTGTGATCGAGGCAGTAAATATATGTTTTATAACATTCACATAACAACAGTGGAACAATTCATCTGACATTTCTTAGTACACAGAAGGTTTGAATTACTAAGAAGAGAAATCTTTAAAGGTCAGGGGAAATCTTTTCAAATAAAGAAGCTGATATTTGTATACCTTTAGTTGGTCCAGGAGCTGAAACTGGTTCTTTGTCTGCAAGAATTTCAATAAGATCAATGAAAGTATGTTTTCCACAACACACACACCGTTACACAAAAGGCTCAAAGCCAAGAAGTCGGACTGGGGGACACTTGAGTTAAGAAAGTGTGTCATGCATTTGTTTTTAGTTTCTGTCTCCAGAATCATCACCAAAGGAAGCTTTTAGTGATTTTTTTCTGTCACTGCAAGTGCAACGCACCAAGAGATGTTCAGGAAAACACATCTGATTATTGATCAAACCCAACAGATACGGTTAATATGAGAGACGTGTGTTAGAGACGCGACAAAGTACGAAAGTCTAAACAGATGATCAGACCAACAGATTTAGACAGAAACGTCACTTCTACATTAAAGCTAAGACGCCTTTGTGTGAAGACTGAAGCTAAGGTTAGCTTCAAAGCTGAAGACAAACACAAAACAACAACGTGAATGAAGAGGTGTTACCTTCAGGTGGAGCGATCTCTTCTAACGCAGGAGATGGTTCCTTCTTGATTGGAGCAACTGGAGCTACAAGAATGCCGACTAGATTAAATCACTGGCAAAGATCTGGTTAACAAGCAACAACTGACAAAACAGACCGTTTTAAAGGATTCACTGCTGTTACGACCCAACAGGGTTCTTCAAGGCAGGAGAAACTGTGAGCCTGACAACATGAGTGACAAACAGAAGAAACTACCTGCAGGAGCAACAACTTTTTCTTCTGGTGTCTTTGTGGTTGGTGGAGAAGGTCTCTTTTCTTCTGGAGGAGACACTTGGGAGTACAAGATACCAAAAGTCACAACCAATATTGACATGAACATAAAAGTGAAGGATAGAAGAGAAAACATGAAAACAGACAGAGGACAGAATAAAGACTAAGAATGAAGAAAGGTGCAGACAGAGAAATGTAAAGCAGCTCAAACAGAAACAGACAATATGGAGGGTTTTTACGAGAAAGAAATACCTGCAGGAGGAGCAACTTTGGCTGCAGCAGCAGCAGCAGGAGCTGAAGGCTTCGGTGCTGCTGGTTTCTTCTCCTCTGGAGGAAACAATTTAAAATACAAGATGCCAAGATCACGACCAAGACAACAACACGGCCAGTCAAGATACAGACAGCTGCACTGACACAATGCAGGAAAAGACTGAATGTAAGAAGAAGCGAGAGAAGCATGAAGGTAGTTCGTTATCCTCCAGACATACAGTTCACAACAAAACACACAAAACCAAGTGAAGAAACTACCTGCAGGAGGAGCAACTTTCTGAGCAGGAGCAGCAGGAGGCGAAGGCTTTGGTGCTGGAGGAGATGGTTTCTTCTCCTCTGGAGGAGATACTTTGGAAATACAAGATGTCCAAGAAAAAGATAAGCTTGGTCATGAACAACTGAAAACATGGAAATCTGAAGACAAGTTAGACAACGAGGACGACACAAAGGGATGCAAAGAAAGACACAAGATGAAAGACGAGGAACTGAACAGATACCTGCAGGAGCAGCAACCTTCTGTTCAGCAGCAGGAGGAGCAGGTGGTGAAGGCTTTGGTGCTGAAGGTTTCTTCTCCTCCGGAGCAGACACTTTGAAAATACAAGATTCCAAGATCATGACCAAGACAACAACATGGTCAGTTAAGACTGCAAGAAGATTCAGACATAAAACAGTCCAAACAGCACGAACAGGTAGAAGGACTAAAGATGTGAAAGGAAGTCAGAGGATGAAGGAAAAACAGAAATGAAAGACGTTAGTAGGCCAAGAATGGTTCCTTAGAAAATGTAAAGCAACAACATAAAGATCACAGACAAAGGACAGACTTACTGTGGCTGTTAGTGGAAGACGAGCGAGTCAAACCAAGAAAATACACTTTAAGAGAGGTCGATCTTACAGCGATCACGAGCCTATGCGGCTCAGAAACCAAAGAATACCTTTCTGAAGAGCTCGTTGTTCAGCCTCCCACGATGCCTTCTTTGCTTCCTCTCTTGTTGGTGGAGGTTTAGTTGCTTCTTCAGAGGAGTCCACCTCCACTGTGGCCGCTTCGTTTTGTGCGGGAGAGGCAGGTTTCTTGGAGGAAATAATTTCTTGCTCAGGAGTTCCACGTTTCTTCTGCAGTGAAACTTGAGACATTTTAGGTGGAGCAGCTTTGCCTTTGGGTTCTTTGGGTTCTTTGGGTTCTTTGGGTTCTTTGGGTTCTTTGGGTGGGGCCACTTCTTCAGGAGGAAAATCGGCTGTCGGGACAACAGTCGCTTTGGGAAGGGTGGAAGATCTTTTCTTTGCAGGAAGAACAGATTCTTCTGTTGGTAAAATCTCTTCCTCCACATGGACTGTCTGCTCAGGGGAAGGACTTCCAGCTGGGACTGCTGGAACCGACACTGATGTTGGGACAAGTTCCTCTTCAAAATACGTTTCCTCAGACACAGGAGCTGGTTGGTCCTGAGGTAATGTGTCTTCAAGATATTTTCCTGCAGCTTTCATGAGTTCTTCGTTCTTTTGACAGGATGCTACTTCTCTCTTCGGAGGAGAGCCAGTGGTTCTGGGAAGAGCTTTAGGTAGGTCTTGCTCAAGGGGATGCGAAACAGCTTCAATGGATGTTGAAGATGGAACGTTGTCTTCAACAGAGAACCCTTTAGGTGCTCCAGTCTTCTGTGGTACAGGAACTCCTTTAGATGTTGCAGAGATTGTAGGTTTACCAAGATGGTCTGTTGAGGAGACAGTTTCATCCCTAGTTTCTTCATGACGCACTGACACGTGTGGCTCAGGAGCTTCTCTCTGCTCTGTTTGAACATCAGCGTCCTTCTGTTTTCTGTCTTGGGAAGTCTTCTTGTAAACCTCAGCTCTGGATGTGTCAGGAGGGGAAACTTCTTTCATGTCAGCTGGAGGTGTGACGTCTCGTTTGGATGGAAGAAGGACAGCTTCTTGTCGAGGTGGAGAAACGGAGCTCCAAGACATTTCTTTCTTCTCCTCTACATGAGCTTCACCGTGCTCCAGTTCAGTGTCTTCTGTCTGATTGTCTTCACTGGACCAAGCAGAAACCACGTCAGCGACATCTGTAATTAGTTTTATCTCCCTCTCCAAAGTCTTTTCTTCTGTTGCGGTCGACTCTGTGAGCTCCACTCTTCTTCCATACAGCTGCTCTGTTCTGTGTCCGGCTGTCAGATGAATCCTTTCTTCTAGAACCTTCTGTAGAAAAGACTCCTGTCTGTCTTCACCCACAGCTGTTGTCGGCTTGTCGTCAGTCTTCAGAGGAACTGGATAAGTTTTAAGATTTCACCCAAGATTGAAGATTTGCACCAACGAGCGGTGACCAAGAGGAAAACAAGACAAACACACATAAGGACACAGAAACACAAACGTCAGTGTTGATTTATGGTGACTCTAGTTTTACACCTGAACTGTACGTCTGATGAATCACTACCTCTCTGCTGCAGGATTTCTCTGGACTTTGGCTGGACTCCTACTTTTCCACAAGGAATAACCTCATCTAGTTTCAAGGACAAATACATATCATTTGTCACACTACAAAAACACGTGACGACGTTCTTAAAGTACCTGAGAAATATTTCCAGTTTACCTTTGGATGTACCCGCCTGCAGCTTTGCTTTAGTTAGTGCTGCTGTTTCCTGCAGAGTCTCCGTCTGTGTTACTGTGGTCACAGCTGATGTTAAGCAGCAAACAGTCAGTACAGAAATCAAGACAAAACTTTTAAAGAATTAGCCTCAGAACGAAACAGAGACGGGGAGTTAAAGAAGTACGGATTAGTGAATAAGACTTCCAAACTGGTCATGTTTGAGACATATCTACCTTGTTGCTGTGGTTTTTTAGCCTGAGGAATTAGTTTTTCCAGTTCTTGTGGTGGTGTTGGTGTTCTGCGATGAGGTGCTGCTTCTTCTGGACTTTTCTCTGGCTCTGCTGGTTGTTCCAAAACCATTTTGTGTGCCACTGGTGTCTTATTTAGTTCTTGTGGTGCCTCTGGAACCTTCTTCGGAGTTTCTGGAATCTTTTGTGGAACTACTGGAACCTTCTTTGGTTCTTCCACAATCTTTTTTGGTGCTTCTGGAGCCTTCTTTGGAGTGCCTGCAACCTTCTTCTGAGTTTCTGGAACCAGTTTTGGAACTTCTGGAACTCTCTCTGGTTTGTCCACAACTTTCTTTGGGGTTTCAGAAACTTTTGGAGTTACCTTCTTGATTTCTTCTGGTACTTTCTTTGGTTCTTCTGGAACCTTCTTCGGCACCTCAGCTCTCCTCTTTGTTTCTTCAAGAATCTTCTTTGGTGTTTCTGGAATCTTCTCTGGCTCTTCTGGCTCTGTGTCAGCAGTATGCACTGGTGCTTCTGGTTCATGTTTACCAGCCAGCAGATACGGTTTTCTGGGAGTTTCAGGTGTCTTTGGTTCTGAGACAACTTAGAAGAACATTATTTATAAGATCATTATCTCATCTACCAAAAAGTCACACTCTAACGAGTGCTTAGCAAGCTCACATAAGATGTTCTGAAAGATTACGTTCCACGTGAACTTAAAAGCAGTTTAAAAGAAGAACTTGATCAAATTGAACAGAACATGAACCACAACACAAGCTTAGCAGAACATTACAGCAGAAGAACCTATTGAGAACCTTTGCAGTACCTTTAGTCGGGACGGCCTCAGCCTTCGGTGGAGCAGCTGCAGGTGCAGGCGGCTGGACCACTGGTTCTGGTCTGGGTGCATCTTGCATTTAAGAGAACATTATATAGTGTTAGCCTACAGCTAAAGAGCAGCACGGCTGTCCACTCTGAACGAGTGGATGTAGTGGAAGAGAAGCTGCACAGCTGCAGAGTCAAAGATGATCAACCAGTACCTTTAGCTGGAAGACGTTCTGGTGTCGATGGAGTGACCACAGCTGGAGCTGGGCGGGTTACAGGCTCTTCTGGTTTTGAGGGTTCTGGTACTTTAAAGAACATTTTATACACAGTTTATCTCCAGAAACACACTGACAACCACAAAGGCTTCAGCGCTACAGTCCACTCTATCGAGTGCTGAGACCCAATCAGACGACATAAACACAGACGGTTTGCTTTACACACAGCCAATCACATGACGGGACACATCAAAGAACCTAGAGATGGAGAAGACAGTCTTTCCGGTACCTTTGGTTAAAACCTCTTGGGTCTTTGGTGGAGCGATCTTGGCAGCGAGTGGCTGAACGGGGGCTGGTTCTGGTTCCACTACAGCTGGAGAACATGAAGAGGTTTTTACTCTACGTTGACCATAAAGGAGCAAAAGCTTTGCTGCACAAACACTAAAGCTTTGAGCTAATGAACGTTTGTGCAACAGTGTGATGGCACCAGCTTGATCAGATCCAGGTGAAGAGGTTAGCAGCCCAGAACATTAGCTACACACACGTTCAAGAGTTTTACTGCAACACAACAACAAGACAGACACGCAACATAACCCAGCAGAACACAGTTTACTACGTTACCTCTCGGTTTCGGGGCTTCTGGCATTTTCTTGGCAGCTTCAGCTTTCGGAGCCTCAGGTTCCGGCTTAATTTTGGCCACTTTGGGCTCAGGTTCTGCCAGTTTCACAGGAGGAACTTTTGGCTCAGCAGGAACCGTTTTTGGCTCTGCTGTTGGCCTGGGTTGGTAAGGTTCAGGAGAAACCTTTGTGGGAACCATCTCTGGTTCCGGTTCTGCGTATACTGAGGGTTCATCAAGGTTAAAAGAGAAACATGACGTCACTTCACATGGAGAACAAACAGCTTTAAGAGTTCAGGAGACGCACAGAACAGCACAGGAAGGTGTCACAGCAGAGACCGACAGCAAGAACACAATGCCAGCTGCATTGTAGGAACACCGAGAACATTCACACAACGTTCACATTAACACACAGAACTCAAGATGACGTTCAACACAAGAGATTTGTTTGATGGGAAAGATATCAGTGGGATGAAAATGAACCTGCACACATGGACAGATTTAGATGTTACGTCTGCTTAAATATTAATTAACGAGTCTTCTTAAATACCAAACACTCATATGTGTGTTTGTTCAAAACAATATCGAGCATTTTAATATAAATGCCAAAAAAAGACCATCTTAAGAATTCAAACATTTACAGCTGAAGAGTGATAAATAAAAGAAGAAATAAAACACAGACGGTTCTCGTGTCTACAGAAATGCAGGTCAGAAGACTGTCGCCTGTTTTGCAGGTTTTGGTGTAATTGAAGAATTTGAGCCAATAAAGACTCACAAACACACAAACAGCAGGTTTCAGGCGTTCTGTTACCTTCTGGAGCTGGAGCTTCGTCTCTCCGAGGCGCAGCAGAAACCTCAGGCTTCTTTACTTCTGGTACTTTAAAACATGATGAGGAATGTCAGTTTTCTGCTCAGAGTACATCCTGACATGAAGATGTTCAGTTATTAAGAGAAACAAAGAATAAAACAAACAGTGTGACAACAGAGGTCTAAAAACAACCAGACACAAGATGAATGAGATGAAAGGAAGAGCAGGTGCTTGCAGATACCTTTAGCTGGAGGTGGAGCTGCAGCCTCAGAGGGTTTCTCCTCTGGCCTCCTGTAAACCTCAGGAACTTGAAAGATCAAGAAAGTTCACATTAAAACCACGACGGCCAAACTCGGCTCTACTCTCTAAAAGCTCCAGTGAGGTTAATCAGAGCGTAAGAGGGGAACAGCACCAACAGAACGGGGTAGAACTGGACACAAAGACGGACAAGACCAAGAGAAGATCCAACCGGTCACGTGCAAAACCATGAAGAGAAGCTTCTAGAAGCAGCAGCTGGAGGTTTAGAGCCCAGTGGACGGACAAACATGGCGGCTAGCTGGTTCTGATCAGCAGCTAAACTACACTACGGCCAGAAGCTGGAAGAGCAGCCAGAAGCTCTGATCAGGTACCTGCAGGAGTCTCCTCTCTGACCTCCACCTGAATCCGCTCAACAATCTCTTCAACCGGCTTTTTCTCTTCTGGTGGAGGAGAAAAGTGAACTTAGACAGAAGAACCTGACTGTGGCCTGAAAGGACCGAAGTCCTAAAGTCTGTCCAGAGGAGGAGGAAGGGCAACAACCAGGTAAACCAGTACAGGTGAGACAGAAACAGGT